AGGGAAAGCAAATGGAGAGGAAATGATGTGCTTGGTCAATAGAGAGGTGCGAGTCTCTTTTTAATTTGGTTAGTTGTTTCTTAATACATTAATATAATAAATCACTGAATTCCATCCTGATATGGGGTGATTGTTTTGACACTGAATAATAATAATATGAATATAATTTATACATTTCATTCTCTTTATATTGATTTGTGTGTCGTTTTGAGATGCATGGAAATTTACATTTTACTTATGTGCGACAGATTCGTAAATATGGGTGTCCTTCACTTTCATTTTCTTTCATTTTGGATGCATTGGCATAAATTGTTTTGAAAACCGGCGATGTTTCGAATTACTTCGACTACAGCTTAGACAATTTAGATCTGATTGCTTGAGTTTATGCTGGTCGTTTTCCCTTTTCATCTTGTTCTATTGAATCGACCACAAAGTGCTCCTTTTAAGAGATTTAATGCTCGAGACATATTGTCGCAACCTGTCTTGTGAACGGATGACATTTGGATGATTTTGGACCGAATTTGTGCAACACTGCATTCATTGTCCTTGTTCGTTGTGTCTGATAGTTTTAGAGTTATGGAATTTGTATCAAGATAAACAATATAGGTTGAGAAATGATTACGATAAGTTAAATGTTGGGTGCAGGTATATTAAGGTTTCCTAGAAAGCGGTTCTTTTGACAGCTGCTTCGGATTATGCAAGACTGATTTGTATCCATTTATATGGTTTCTAAAGACAGAGAATTAAGCTGCAAACAAGATAATAATAATATATTTTAAAAAATTTAATCCACTTAAATATGACAGGAGTACTAAAGTTAACACAAATATGATGGAATGAGACAAGGATACTGGCTACAGTAATGATAAAGAAGGTCAAGGAGCACAAACTGTTCCAAGTTGTTCCAATCACTGAAAATTGTTAGGACACCATCCAAAAAATATAATGCGATGCAGCTTCTTCCTAGATCGCTCATGGTATTTTCGTAGTAGTAAAACCACACTTCAAGACATTTTACATATTGTACTTTTGGCTTTGGGGTTGATGTTACCAGCTTGATTGATGATTTTACTTCTTTTTTGTAGGCATATATAGAAGCTTTTCATGATTGACTTTTTTGGCTAGAGTATTCATGTCTTTCTGTTTTTAAATCATCTTTGGCCGTTCATGTACCTAGCTTGCAATACTGGGAGAGATGCGGAAACCGATTTGAAATATCCCAAATAAAACTTAGAAGAAAAGAGCACAAAACAAGAAATGACAGAAAATACAAAGAACACTAAGATTTAACGTGAAAAAATCTGAGAATGAGAAAAACCACTTAATCAGATCACACCAACGGAGAAATTCTCTTTGAAAAATGAAGAGAATTGTGCAAACTACATCATACTTAAGCTTCTCTACACTTCTAAAACTCAAGAACACTCCTCCTTTACAAGATTATAAAATTCAAATTGCTTGAATTCAGTTATTGGAGTCGAGGTGCCGTTAAGGGCACTGATGCACTCCAAAGGGGTGCTGCGACACTGCATCTCAACGTTGCAATGTTGTGCTCGAGTTTATGAACCTAATATTGGAGTTAACTCAAACTACATATAAAATGTGAATCTTGAAATTCAAAAGGTTACAACGACAACTCTCTAAAAATAAAATAAAAGACAACAAACATAACAAACACCCTAGGGCAAATGCAAAGGGCCGAACACCGGCTGAACATCTTGAGGAGGGGCTTGCTGGGACTCGCAGCAACGCTAGACGACGTGGGAGAAGGCTGTGATAGCAGGTCGGTTGGGAGGAAAGTTTTATAGTGTTGTTTAGAAGGTTGGGTGTTTGGGAGAGTTTTATGTGAGGGGGAGTAGGAGGGGCGTGAGGTCAGCAAGCAACTTGGAGAGGTGCTGTACGGGGCTATGGGTGGCTGTAGGAGGGGTGGAAAGGAAGCAACAGTTGGCTGCATTAGGAAACAGAGCAGTTGAACAAGCGTTTGCAAGGAGGGAATGATTGATACGACAATAGGAGAGAGGCTTTTTTGGACGACAACAGTAAGGGAGGAAGGCAGGGCCTTGGTGGAGAGGGGTAGATCTGCTGTAGGAAACCAACTTGTTGGGTTATGCGGCTAGGAGGGTTGACTGGAGGATGGACTTACTGGAGGGGAGGGACTTGGGTAGTGACTGCGGCTGAGAGGAGGAAATAGGTGTAGTGTCTGCGGCTGAGAGGAGGAAATAGGTGGTAAGGGGAAGGGTTGGAGAGGATGTAAAGGAAGATAATCACTGCCGGGGAGGGGGATACAACTGAAGCACCACCATATCCGTCGGATATAGCCATCGAGGCGAAACTAGGATGCCGACAGTTGTCTTCACAAACTGAAATCGGAAAATAACTAACGCTAAATCCTAAGCCCTAAAAACACATATAAATAGAAGAGAGTTGGGTGAGAAGTAAAAACAGGAATGAGGGAAAATTCCCGCTTGATGAAAAGATTTGAGGGGGGGGAGACCAGTTCAACACCCTCTCATAACTGTACCAGTTCGGCCAACAGGTTCAACTTTTGGAGCAAAACTATCTCGTCATTCTCTGAGATTGGGGGAGCTTCGACCTCATTCATCGAAGCTTGTGGATCCTCATGGTACGACATTATGTCCCCTAACAGGTCAGTCATGTCAGTGTTGTCAACATATTCTGGTAGAATGATAGCCATCCTCATTTGGCACAACTTGAGCGGAAGCTGCATATAGTGGTGGATTCCCGCAATGCAAATCTCAAATCCTTGCATTTGAGCTCTTCTCCTTCCACTTCTTGTGCCCAGCGTACGGTGGTTGAGTAACAAGTATTTGAGGAGAAATTAACTATTAGCTGAAATCTGTGGCAGGCTGTGCCACTCACTAATAATCACTTAGGAGAGACATCTTCTTCAGTGACAGGACCTAGATCCCATTGAAGAATTTTCATTCCCCTTAGACTTCTAAGACACATTTCATAGTTGAGGCTCATACCGCTTGGAAATCTACTGATGGATGCCCCGTTGAGTTGAATCTAAAATTTGAACTACTCATTGTAATAGTCCAGACATGATATATAATGACTTCTCTTTAGACATGCTGGTCCTTCTTTCGTAGAGGCAATTCAGAAGGGTGTCTAGATCTGACATATCTACTTTCTCTTGTCTTTGGGGACCCTGTGTCTGATGCTGACTCCTCCGACTCATAACTGCATTGGCCACTTATAATGACGTCAGAACTAGGTGAGGATTTTCCCTCCTTTATGTTTTTATTTCCCGTCCAGCTCTCTTCTATTTATGTGTTTTTATGTTTTAGGGTTTAGTGTAGGTTATTTTTGGATTTCAATTTGTGAGGATAGCCGTCGACATCCTATTTTTCCCACGCGGGCTGGATCCGACGGATAGGGTGGTGCTCCGGCCTTATCCCTCTCCCCAGTGGTGATTATCTTCCCTTACATCCTTTCCAACCCTTTCCCTTACCACCTATTCCCTCCTTTTAGCCGCAGCCACTACCTAAGTCCCTCCCCTCCCGGCCACATAACCCATTAGCTGGTTTCCTACAGCCGATCTACCCCTCTTCACCAAGGCCCTGCCTTCCTCCCTTACTACTTCTGTCCAGAAAAGCCTCTCTCCCAAGCTTCTCTCTCACTGCAGTATCAATCATTCCCTTTCTGCAGACATTTGTTTCCTTGCTCCGTTTCCTACTGCAGCCAACTGCCGCTTCCTTTCCACCCCTCTTATAACCACCCATAGCCCCATACAACACCTTTTCGTGCTTCTTACTGACCTCACGCCCCTCC